CTGTAAATTTTTGCTGAAATAATATATTTAAATTTTAAAAAGACATAAAAAAAATGACTGAGTAAGAATGGATTCATTTACACAAGTGTGAGGTTAAACTAATAAGAGTTGTAAATTTCTGTCTTATTGTCTATAAACTCATGAAAAAGGAAATGTGAAGTTATTGAGCATAGTGGACACTTATTTAATAAAATGAGGTTATAGCATTTTATGGAAATGTAAAAATCAATTATTCTTTCCTTGCATAATGAGGATAAGAAGCCATGGAATATTAAGAATATGACACCCCCCCCAAAAAAAAGAATATGACATCCAAATACTGTTCAAAAAAGTTTCAAAATATATTGGCTATCTAATATAAAGCAAAGCTATTTAATGAAGATATCTAGAGATACACTTGATATACCATTTTTAGGAATTAAGGATATATTAAAAACAAAAATGAAAAAAAAATCTGAGATATTTACCTACTTGCATCCTAAAATTGCTACACCAAGGAAAAGACCTTCTATACAAAGGGGGAATCAAGAAACAGGAAAAGCAAATAGCACAGAAACAGAATGGAGGAGAGTTGAAACTGAATAAAAGCCCAGAAAGATGTCTTTCTAGCTCTCTTCCCTAGCACCTCGGAAGGCTCAGCAGTGACCGATGGTAAACAGAAGATGTTTTAAAAAGTTCAGTTCCAGCTTTTAGGAGCTAGACTGTTTAATTAAAGCACAGGTGAAATTAGGCAACAACTGTTTATTAATGCAGGCCTAGAACGCAGAGAACCTTTAAGCATGTATAGATAGTCTCCCTAATACGAAGGCAGTGATTTACTTATACATGTGGGTAAACTTGGCAGAACTAGTATTTAAAGCTTCCAGGCTAAAAGACAACTCAAGCTCACTGCTGTCAAGTTCATTAGCTGACCCTTTCATTGGGTTTCCACAGTGTGAGGAGGCTGCCCATCATTCTCTGCCAGAGCTTCTGGGGGATTAAAATTGCCAGAAATGCAGTCTTTGGATTAGCAATACAACTCACTATGAACTACACCATCTGAGTTCCTTCCAAAAGACAAAGAAGGGAGCAAAATCTAGGAGACAGAGGGCAAACTTTTCCCTGGACACCAGAACGCACTGACTTTAGCAGGGAGGCTCAGCTGACAGGGGTTTCTTTACAGGAGCTAACAAGTTTCAGGAAGTAACTTCCAGCCTTGGATAATGTAAGCCAACAGCAATGAAATCTATCCCCACTCACAAGGACATGGCAAAGAAATGGAAGTGATAAGAAGCACTCAGAACAAGAAATGCATTACCTCTTCCCTTATCAAGGTGAGCACGGCAGCCTTATCTGACTCACTGAGGCAGATGCTGTCCAGTGGACTCTCACCTCCACAGGCGACAGACACAGGGGCCTTCTCCTCAGTGGACTCCAGCAGGCCCTGTGGGGAGCAGAGGCCACAGTTAGGACGCCACCTTCTGAGCCCTAAGGAAACCCTGCAATCGCTTCCTCTTTACTGAGTTGACTGCACCCTTTAAAAGCAAGTTTAGAGGCAGTGAAATAGCCACAGTATTATCAAAGAAATACAGTGATCAGGAGCGTGGTCTTCCCTTCTGTGGAACAGAGAGCCAGGAGATGCCTTCTTCTTATCGAAAACCTCAGGAGATGTTGCTGAATTGTGCACATACAAAGAAGTTAAAGGTAAATAATCCAATAGAAAAATGGGCACAGGATATGAACAAGATAAAGGTAAATAATCCAATAGAAAAATGGGCACAGGATATGAACAGGCATTTCACCGAAGACGACATTCAGATGGCTAACAAACACATGAAGAAATGCTCAAAATCCCTAGCCCTAAGAGAGATGCAAATTAAAACAACTATGAGATATCATTTCACCCCAGTCAAAATAGCAAAATTTAACAGAACAGCAAGCAACAAATGCTGGCGAGGTTGTGGAGAAACTGGAACCCTGATTCACTGTTGGTGGGAGTGTAAAATGGTGCAACCCCTGTGGAAAGCAGTATGGCGCTTTCTCAAAAAGTTGCAAACAGAGATACCATTTGACCCAGCAATTCCACTACTGGGAATATACCCTGAAGAGACCATAGATGACATCCAAGCAGATATATGCACACCCATGTTTATTGCAGCTTTGTTCACAATAGCAAGGAGTTGGAAACAACCTAAGTGCCCATCAACAAACGAATGGCTAGAGAAGCTGTGGTATATTCGCACAATGGAATACTATGCTGCATTAAAAAACAAGGAACTCATGCAATATTATTCAAAATGGTTGACTCTGGAGAACATTATGCTGAGTGAAATATCCCAGTCACAAAAGGACAAATATTACATGATGCCACTGTTGTAGAATGGGACTGTCCTTGGGGTTGGGGAGAGACTGAGTAAGATGGGTTCAATAATGTATACTGCACTGAAACAGAGGAGGGAGAAAACTGTTTAAAAGAGATATATAATTAGGTATTTCTGTCATCACAGGAGACTAGAGCGAGGGCTACATGGTGGAGGGGACCTGGGGGAGGGTTTGTAAAACAATGAAAGAATCTTTTCTTTTACTTTTCCATAATTTTTGGACTCATGTACTTATAACTTGTTAGTCAAACTTGTGTCTTCTAGGTTGCAACACCCCCATGATACATCTTCAAGGATATGAACATGTCCGGCCAAGCACAATCAATAAGAGTGCATCTAAATTCCAAACTCAATCTCCATAATAGTCTATGTGTTTCCTACTGCCAAAGGGGCCCTTTAGAGTAGTGAGAGAAGATCTTCACCCTGAAACCCACAGCGTCCCTTTTCAGCAGGAAGTAGCTAAGAGAATACGCCATCCCCTTTTCCTTATGACTCAGGGTGAAGTCTCTCTCAGGGAGGAGTGATAGGGAATGGCAAAGGACACACTGACAAAGAAGATTAATCAGAACTGGCTTTGACAAGCACTGTGGCATTTGGACAAGAACAAACTGGGAGGAGGGTAGAGAGAATAGTGCAACAATGAATGAATGGAAACCCAAAATCTCTGTAAATGTTTATGAAAATTAATAAAATATAGAAAAAAAAATTCCAAATGTGGGTGTGCTTTCTTGCATGTATATATTTATATAAGCACATAACTTGAGGGAGGTTGACAAAGAATCACCTGCATAAAGGAGAAAAGGGTCCATGGTCATTTCCCAGGGCTTTTTAGGAGTGATGTGTTCCATGAAAATAAAATGCCCCCAAAAAGTGGTAGGTGTTTCCATAAAGTACTAATGCTTTGTGTGCTTATATTAAAGAGCTCCTTTGAATAGAAAGCATTCTATAATTGTATTAACTTCCTGGTGTGAGGAAGCAGAAACAGGCAACACCCCTCAGGACATCCTGAACCTCAGGTGTGCTGCAGGGTTGTGCTATGGCTGGGACACTGTTAGTGGGGCACCATTATCTGCCCCCAAACACATTTAGTGACAATCTCCTGGCTCTTGCTCATTCATGTTCAGTCCTTGTTTCCAGCCTTGGTCAACAGCCCGGCCCCTGGCAGCACCTCACCTTCAAATGTGCTGGTGCCTCTCTCACAAACTCAGGTTCCAGGGGTCACACTGGGGAGACATTTTATTTCCCACAAGAACATGGGCTTTGTACTGTTGTTCTTCCTAAAGGACATCTGACAGGCTTACTTCCTCTTAGGGAATGGAATCTTTGGGAACCTGGATTGGAATCTTTCATAGAAATATGTGATTGAAGGGAATAAAAATGTCCCAGTGACCTGGGGACAAACTCAGAGAGGTAAGATTGAACATGATATCAATGGGTTACTGCTTATAATCCATCAACTCCATGATAGTCTGCTTGAATCAAGACCAAAGAGGCAGCGAAGGTCAAGAAGGCACTGGGAAGCCCAAGGATCCTGGACGGTGAGTTTGGGTCCTCATGGCTAATCCCCTGGGAGTGTCGGCTGGCCTTAGTGACTTGCTTTTGGGACTGCAGCGCAGCTCTTGCCACTAGGCCACCAGAGCTCCCAAAACAAAAGTCCTCACCACTGGACCAAAGGTTATTAATAGGTAACGTCATGATGTTGTTGTTGCTGTTGTGTACTATGGAGTCAGAACCAACCCATAGCTGACCCTCCAGCAGGTTTCCAGAGGCAGTTAAGTGCACAGGAGGAAATAGCCTATCTGTCTCCTGCGGAGCAGCTGGTGGCCTCGAACCAAGTACCTTTGGGACTGCAGTGCAGCTTCTTGCCACTAGGCCACCACAGTTCCTAATGTGACTTGCTTTTAAAGAACAGAATATGATAAAAATGATGGGACGTCATTTCTGAGGTTGGGTTACAGAATGACTGTGGCCCCATTTTACACTCTCCCATTCAGGAAAGCCAGTGCCACGCTGCCTGTTCTCGGAAGAGATTGTTGCTGTCGGGGCAGACTGGACAGCACACAACAACACTGACCCCACAAGCCCCACGGGGTCTCCAAGGCTGTAAGCTTCACATAAGGAGCTCAAAGGTCTAGGACAGAAGAGTCCCAATCGCTGACCTTTCAGTTAGTAGCCAAACGCTTAACCATTGTGTCACCAGGACTCCTTATCTGGTGAGGAGCCAAGACCTGGTGCGCTATAGATTCAACTGTTGTTCAATTGAAATTGCTGTCTCAGTCCTAACCTGAGGTCTCTGTGGACATAATCTTGTTTGGAAATTGGGTCTCTGAAGTTATCAGCCAACACAAGGCCATACAACACAAGGGTGGTTCTAGTTTCATGTGGGTGCTGTCCTTAGAGCTGCAGAGACAGAAGGAAGAGCACCCTATGATGAAAACTAAGACACACCTGGGTGAGAACAGGGTCATTCCTACCCTCGGAGCATGGACTTTTAGCAGCATTACTGTGAGACAATAAATCTGTTGTTTAAAGTCATCTACTTTTTAGTATTATGTAGCAGCAGACCCAAGAAACTAACACCTCTAAACCTAATGTCAACTGGGTAAGATTGGAAGGAATGCCACCCCACGATAAATCCAAGAAATGCTTTGATCGCAGTCTTGTGGAAGACCCAGAGTCACAGAGAAACTCTAATATTTGTTGCTTTAAAGTGCTGAGTTTGGGAGTTAATTACATTACACTGTGACAACCAGTACATGCCTGAACATTTCAATCTGGTCATTAATCTCCTGCTCCCATTGAGACGCTTTCTTACATTCTTGTTTCCCAAGGGACTTCCCTACAGCGAGACAATGCAGTAGGCCAAGCTGATAGATTTTTAACGTGAGTCTTTCGTGGGTTTTCATCATTCTAAGTCAAGCAGAATTGAAACAATTCTAGGAAATAGCTTCCCTGTGTCTCTCATAGCCCTCACATGAGCAAGACTTGGCATAGAAGTTTAAAAAAGTTTTCTTAGGTGCTAAATGGTTCTAACAGTGATCTAATTCATAACAGACTGAACACTGCGAAGTCCTGCACCAGCCTCTTAATCACTGCTGGGTGGGAGACTACTGCTATAGCCACAGTGGTGATTTAGTATTTCATTGAAGGCTGTCTTCTCCTTTGCAGACCCTTTACCAAGTATGATGTTCCTTCTCTAGGGCTGACCCCTCCTGAAAATATGTCCAAAGTATGTGGGATGAAGTCTTGCCATCCTTGCTTCTATGGAGCATCTGGGCTGTACTTCTTCAAGACAGATATACTTGTTCTTCTGGCAGTCCATGGTGGTGGTTGTTATGTGCATTTAGTCACTTGCGACTCATAGCGACCCTTTGTACAACAGCTCTGAACCCTGTTCTACAGAGCCAACTCTACTGTCTCCAACACACCTACACCCATTACCCCAGTCACTGAATCAATCCATCTCATCCCAGGTCTTCCCCTCCGGTGCTGTCCCTCCACCCTCCCAAGTATGATGTCCCTCTCCAAGGACTGGTCCCTCCTTGCAACATGTCCGTAGTATGTCAGACGAAGCTTCAGGATCCTTGCCTCCAAAGAACACCCTGGTTTTACCCTCTCCCAGAAAAACTTGTTTGTTCTCCTAACAGACCATGGTCTAGTCAATACTCTTCTCCAGCACCACAGCTCAAAGATATCAATTCTCCTAGTCATTTCCAGCTTTCTGATACATAGCAAGTGACTGCAAAGACCATGGCCTGGATCCAGCACACCTTAGTCTCTAGACTGACATGGTTGTTCTTCAGTACTCTGGAGAGGTCTCTGACAGCCAACTTTCCCAATGCAATTCATCCTTATTATTTCAGCGCATGGTGCATTAAATATTACTGCCAACACCACGATTCAAAGGTATCAGTTAATAAATACTCGGTTCAGCTTTCAAATGTGTGTGTTGATTGAAAATATCATGGGTTGTGTCTTGTCTTCCCTGCTTCTCAGAGTAACATCTTTGCTTGTAAATACTCTAAAGAAGTCATCTGCAAATTTGTCCTATGTCATTTGATTT